GGTCCTAGGAGGGTCATGCTGAGGTAGAGCGTCCGAAGACCTATCAAATCATGTATCGAAAGCCCAAATTGGATGTTTCAGTGGCTTCATAGAGGGATTTCAAAAAATTGTGACAGGACTTATCTACCAACCTGATACTAACCACACCCTCTACTTTTATCATCAACAACTAGCAGTGATTTTTAGGGAAAACAGAAGGATGGGGTCCTGCAACGATTTGGTGGATCATTCCGGAGGAGGCCAAAAAAGGAGAGCAAAAAAAGGACCGTTGGACGAGGGGCAAGGGATTCCGGCAAAGCTTATCAAGGCGTCGTCAGTACAGGTGAGTACTTATTAATTTCTAACTTTCAGAAGTTGATTCTTTTCATCGCAAAAATGCAATTGCATACCGTAATCGATTGAACGGTTAGAGCAAGTTCTAAAATATTTTTCTGCATATCCTTTGTCTTGTCCTTTCGTTGGATTTACATGACGTAATCGATGAAAGGCTAGAAAAAAATAGAACAACTGAAATACTTTTTTTGTTGTTTCCAATCTTCCTTGCTTTTGACATCAACGACTGGCTTTAATTGCGTTAGTAACTTGGAAAAAAATATTGAATTTGGTGGATTTTCGTAGTTGTAAGGTCAGCTAGCGGAGATTCCCTAGGAAATTTACTTAAAACGCCCGACTTATTAAGCAAAATTAATTTTTAAAGAGCTTAACAAAACCGTAAATCGTTTAAATTGTCGTTGAGATATATTCAATCTTATCATAATTATTCAAAACTAATTACTGTTGTTTAGAACAAAACCCTGAACCCGCGGTGGAACGAGAAGTTCCAATTTCAAGTCGAGGATCCGACCATCGACAGATTCCATATCGATATTTGGTAAGTAATATAAATATTGATTTAACCTTTGGTTGTTCATCTAATAGAAATGTTAATAATTTTCAGAAATCTAATAATGCAAAAAGTCTATACCCCGCCGGAAAATGCCTATTTTTAGGGACCACGACGATGAGGAGCAATCAGTCCTTGACGCCGTTTCGACGCTAAATCAGATTAGTGGAGGTCTAAAGGTATAAAAGGCCACAAAATAAGCAAAAAAGGAGCTGAAAACCGACTGAAAATTTGATTCGTAATTCTAGGGCCTGGGCCGCTACTTCAAAGAGGTCACCCAATCAGCGCGAGCCGATTCCGAGGAGAGTACCGATGACTTTTTGGGCTGTATCAATATTGATTTGGATGTAAGTAAAAACTACTATAAACTACGATAAACTAAAGACAATAGCCCTCAAAATAAGCATTGACCGCTCACCTATGAATTTTTAGAAAATCCCACCCGACGGCCTGGAGCAGTGGTACAAGCTCGAACAGAGGAGTGAAAAATCGAAGGTGTCGGGCAGTGTTAGACTGAAGGTAAGTTAGCGGTATCGATTTTTAAATCTAAGCTTTAGTTGTGGCTGAGCACGAGGGAAGACAGAATTGGAGATGAGGAAGATCTGCTGGACGTAAAAGAGCACATCGAGCTGACGAGGCAATTCGCGTTGTATGAGATTCGACAGAGCGGGGTAAGCTTGAACCAATTTTTTTGTATTTGCGCATTAATAGAATGTAAGAAATTAATTCCCATGTCATATCAAAATTATATGGATACTGTAACTCGATTAAAGCTATAAATTTAGTCCCCAGTCCGAATGTGGGATGGCTACTTCCCCGACAAGCCGATTTGCATCCTGAAACAACATGCTATTCAGAGCGATTTGGATGACGTTCAAGTTTGGATGTGGTAAGTATTGGATCGTTGTTCTTTATCCCTCTTACTTTCTCTCTCTCTCGCTCTCTCTCTCGCTCTCTTTGTCCCTCTCTCTCTCGCTCTCTTTGTCTCTCTCTCACTCTCTCTCACCATATTCATATATTTCAGTAAATGGCTCGCCTTCCATTCGATGATCCCAATCGACATCTCCTTCAATTTGTTGCACCAAACTTTACATACCTTGCTGGAGAAGTGGAAGCCAATGGAGTTGGAAAAGGTATGCTTAACAATGACTTACATGTTTTCGTATTCTGGATACAAAGTTTCGATACACTATTAGATTCCTTTAGGAAGAAGAAAACCTTCTCCTCGAGTCGTTCCACCAATTCGACGCCTACTGCCGGAAGTGTCTGTTGGAGCACCGTGAACGATTTGTGCCGACGAAGCGGAATAGTGGAGAGGAGTTTATCTCTCTAATCAAGTGAGTCGTTAAAGCACGACAATGGCAAGGCTCTCCCGTTGACGCTGCATGCGAATCCGCCGCAAACTTGTCGTAACCATCACGGAAATGAAAGATCCAGTGCGCGTTGCGTCTGTCTACACATGCGTTGCGTTGCCATATGCGCGTTTTGCGCCTTGCGTGTTGCGACATGTGCTCTGCATGTCGCTACATGGGCGCTCTTGTCGCGAGATGTGCGGTTCGCGTCTCGCGGCATATGCGTTGTGCGCCGCGGCCTGTGCGTTACGTATCACGCCACGCGCGTTGCGCGTCGCGACCTGTGCTGCCAGTTGCGAAAGGTGCAAAAACCATGCCGAAATTCATAACCACCCGAATCTTACGGAAGTACTTTCCATTCCAGATGTATGCGCTCCCTCCGTGAAAGCACCTTTTTCTCAAAATTCCTCACCGCGAAGCGGCCTTTTGTCGCACACATCGAATCACTATTAGCGGTACGTCTTCAAAAACTTCCCGGAAATTCTAATCAATTTAGAAATCCGCAGAAGCCTGGTTCGCTCAAGTTGTCGAGTCATGTCAGGATGATGATCCTTGCAAGGAGTTGCTTAGGTAAGCAAGTCCGAACTCCTTCAAAAACCTTATCATCTTCCAGCATCCTAACCCGCTTGAACAAAGCCTGCTCTCGGTTTCTACACTATTCCGCACCCATTCGGGAAGTCGCCCGAGCCGATTATGCTCATATCACGTTGTCGACTTTTGATACCTTGGTAAGTTAAGGTTTAAATGATACCTCAGAACCATATTTTTTTAGCTAAGCGAGTACCTGACGTCGGAGATGATGTCGGAGAAGAGTTCAAATCTCAAAGCGCAGCTAAAAATTTCTGCATCTGATCCTCCCACTGATGATGATCTCCTTGATTTGATCCGGATCCACATCGCCTTCGTCGAGTTGCGGAACCACAGGCTGGCAAATCGGGTGTAAGTTGGAATTACGTTGCTTAAAAATCCAATTTTTAATGTCATGCTTGGCACTAAGCTTTAAAGTACAAAGTCCAAAGTGGACGCTTTTCAGACGAGTCCGAGAAGAACCAGAATGGGCCGACATCTTCAACAGGGGCATCAAGAAATTCTTGGACGTGGCGAGGGAAAGAGCGACGGCTCGTGTTGGACTGTCTTGTCAGCTCGAGATTCCGGTAGGCGCCTATGGACGTAGTAAATCTCCTTGGTTTTAGATCAACACCGGTGCCAACGAGATGAAGCAGTCCAGCAGTCACGTGGATGTTTGCCATATTGTTGAGCAGGTATGTGCGGTTTTAGGCAATTTTAAGGTTCTCCAGATGTTATGCGCCAGGTTAATGGCAGAGAATAGCTTCAAAACTGCTGAAAACTGTATTTTAGCTTACCGTCTGCTGGGAGCGCTGTGAAATCACGGACCCACGACTTCGAGCCGAGCTGACGGAACGATTTGTCGATTTGCTGTGTGAAGTCGTGAAGAATTATTCTATAAAGGTGTCGTTATTTTTATGTTAGAATTTTTATATAAGACGCAACTTCCAAAAAATGATGTTTTAATCTGCATAAAACCGAGTTTTAGACTATTGCTGCCCTTGAAGCCGAAGGATTTACCGGAGATTTGCAAGTCTTCTTACCATCCGCCTTGTTGAGTATTGTAAGTTTTAGGTTTGAAGAATTATCGATTTTCTCTCTCTCGCTCTATCTCTTTCTTCCTTTCTCGAAAACCTTATGAAAACTGCCCTTTCTAGTTCTGCTCGGCCATCAACAACTGCGAGCATGTTCGACGCGCACTGATCGTTCACGAAAAATTGCGTTTGGACGATTTGGGGACGAAGGAGGAACGTGAACAAAAGGTCGGTTACCCCTTTCTAAAACACAAGTTTTTTATTAGGGCGGTTCCAAGTGGAAGATATTGATCGAACAGCGGCTAGAGGACTGCGAGGAGATGATCTCGGCCGAGATTGACAGGATGATTGACAAATTGATCAAGTAAGTTGGCATTTCTGACGTATGCTTCTTGACGACTAAATAGCTTCACTGTTCTAAATTATGCAGGATATCGTAGTTTACATAGACAAAAAGCGTATCGAAAAGTAAATTGCTGCGTAAACTTCAACTTTTAGGCGCCTCCTTCCGCAAATGAAAAAGCACGTTTTCCACTTGGCTTGGTCACCTTCAGCCTGTGCCGTTGAGGACTCCCTGAAGCCGCTGACAGATATGGTACAGTTTTCGGAAGTATGACACTTAAAGGGGCTCCGAACTGCCAAATCAAAGGCCTTTTGGGCCTCTTTGATTTCTGGCAAATTGCCAGCGGGCGCTGCGGGACGAGAGTCCTCACTCTTTCGATTTTTGCGCGAAGTTGTTTTTGCCCGGTTTCTTTGGGAAAACACTATAATTCGCGCATTTTGAGCCCATTTTTGAAATCCTCACTCAATTTTAAATAGTTTTGGTGCTTTAATCATCAAATTTGGCCCAGAAACAGCCGAGAACGCGATTTCGAGGTGACAACAGGGAATTTCAAATTTGCGAGCGTCCCGCGCCCCTAGGTGTACAGAGGCCACCCAGGTACAGGGCTCCCATCTTCGGGCCGTCACTCAATTTTTGGCATTTCGTAGCCCCTTTAATAAGTCAGTTGGACCAGTTGATAGGTTCAATTTTAAATTCTTAGATTTTCTACTACCACCCATTACATCATATTTTAGCTAGACATCGAGCTATCAGCCGTCCATCGGCAGCTTCTTCATAAGAATTTCCTGCGAGTCCTGGCCAACCAAGCTGCAGCAGTCGTGATGCTGTTGCGAGGATGTGTGGATGAGAATCCAGGGGTACGTTACGCCAACTATTAAATGCCGATACCTTAGAAAACATGAGAATTACATATCGTAGCTTAACTTCCTTCAGATGGAACCCCAATTCTACCAGCGCTTGTTCGATTCCTGGGCCGTCTTGGTCGACTTCTTCCACGCGGGAGGGAAGGGAATCTCGATGGAACAACTCGAGACTACCCCACAGCATATGGTAAGCCCAGGACTACGGTATTGGAGAGGCTTTTTAGGACCTGACTCGTATCCTCTCACTGAACCAGACACCGACCGAGCATCTGATCGAAAAGTATTACAAGGAGTTGTTGAAGCAGCAGGTGAGGGGCGAAAGGGAGTCAAAATATCAAAATCCTGCTGAGGCAAGCTAGCAGAGATTATTGGTGAATCGAAACTGTCTGTAAAAACGTTTATGATTTTATAAAAAGTAAAATTAATGGTTTCGTATCGTTTTTATGTGGTTTATCGCTCTTACTTTTAATTTTTAAAAATTGTAAAATTTCTTTTGGAACGTTTTTAAATGAGCACCAGGGTTGAAAAACCGCTTCGCGGCTTTTCAACCCTGGCCCCGTCTTCCAATGATATTCTTGACTTTGCATAATCTTCCCGGATTCGGATGACGAAAATGAAAAATGCTCTTGCCGTCCCTTTATATAGGCTACCGCGACTTCCGGTGCATGCTAATTTTTTCCTAACAGATTGGGCGGTCAGATTTTCCATGAAAAACTTAATTTTAATGTCGAAAACATCATATTTTGTAAGATCTGATATGTGTGCAGTCATCTCCAGCCCATTACGCACCTAATGACGTATCGAACATACCCCTAAGTACTTCCCCTCTTGAGATACTACTGGAACACGCTGACGGAAGTTGCATGCAAATGCACACACACACAGGAACTATTTTTTTATATATAGTAGGATAGCCATAATAAAGTTTAATACGCTAGAAAAAACGTATTACTTTTTAAATAGCATATCGTTATTTTTCTTCCAGAATGAAGTGACCGATTGTAAATACGGGATTCTCAACTTACGTGCCTACTACAATGCCAAGTCACAGACGCTGAGGTTGGATGGTAAGTATCGATTTTTCGAATGAAAATTGTGTATTTATAGTAATCGGAGCGAAGCAAGTGATTCCGCTGGACACTAATGGGTTGTCGGATCCATTTGTGGTTATCGAATTGGTGCCCAGGGCCAAATTCTCATCGCAACCGGTTTTGAAGACGAAGGTCATGCCGAAGACGTTGAACCCGATCTTTGATGAGACGTTTGAATTGTGAGTTTGAGCGGAATTTAATTTCTTATGGTATTTATGCTTTTTTTAAGTGAATTAATTTCGCTACCCGAATGATAGTTATATCAATATACGTTTAAAATGCCTGAATTGCCTGAAAACGTCCGCCAATTTCAGCCACATCCCTCAAAAAGTCCCACCGGGCGCCCTGCTCCACTTCACCGTGATGGACCACGATTATCTGAGGTCGAATGACTTTGCCGGGGAGGCGTATTTGGAGTTGATTGATGTAAGTTGTAGCAGTGCATTAGTGGTCGTAGGATTGGGTAGTGGACACCTTGCAGTATGAAACCTCCACTTAAAAATCTTACTTTTGAAGGTGCCTGGATTCTCACCAACTACTGCACCAACGACGCTTCGGCAATTCAATCTGGTTTTGATTCATCCCGTCAATAATTGTGAGTTTCATCGCATAGAGAGCGAGCGAACCTGAGAGGGCGCGAGAGAAAGAGAGAGTGGGAGCGGGAGGGAGAAAGAGAGAGAGAGAGAGAGAGAGAGGGAGGGAGTGAGGAAGGGAGAGACCGAGAGAGATAATGAGTGAGAGAGTAAGAGCGTGAAAGAAAGCGTGCAAGAGATAGGGAAAGAGCGAGAGAGTGAGGGAGAGAGGTAGATAGCGAGGAGAGATAGAGAGGGAGCGATGGACTGAGAGCGAACAAGAGAGTCCGAGAGATGGAGAGTGATGGGGAGAGAGATGGGGAGAGCGAGAGAGAGAGGGGATAGAGCAAGAAAGCAAGATTTATAAGTTATTTCTAATACCAATTTTCAGGCAAAGACGTCTTCCAAGTCCTCGACAGTCGAAAAGAAGACAAAGAAGCCCAAGACTTCCTCCGGAACGTCCAGCTGAATTATTGATCTCATGCTGATTTTGCGGTCCTTCAAATGAGTACCGCATAATCCCGTTGCACCCCGCTCACTTTGATAGACCTAAAAAACGCCATTATCCTGATGCTTTCCATAGACTTATCACGCTTTCGCGGGATTTTTCTTATATGTGTTTTGAATGTGGTTTTGTGGGGGCTCCCAGCTCTAGTAGTTTTTGCAGAAGCCAATTTATGATCTCGTGAGGCTTTAAAGGTATATTCAAGCTTTTCAAACTGAGCTTGCCGACCTTTTTAAATGTTTGAACGTATTAACGTTAAAATAAGCCTAAAATTTGCTGTTTTGCTCGTTTTTAAAGACCTAGTCCGAAATTAAGCTTCATTATGCCTTTAAAGCCATTAACCAGCCATATAATCTCTTAAAAGGAGCTCCTCTTTTGTATGTCTCCACATTTTACCCCCTGCTTTCAGTTCAGGTATTCGCCAATACATGTATTTCGATCTCCGCGCGCGCCCATCCCGTTGATCCAAGCCACCCCTCGCCCCTTTCATGAATGAACCAAATGCACAGAGTTGCGCTACTATCAGAGAAATAAAGCTGTTTTTATTGAAAAATGATGATTCTCATACCGTAATTGATAAAAAATCATTACAGCCAGAAATTCGCCAGAAATTCAAGATCTGTCTTTCGAAAAACGCCATTTTGCTATTAAAATCATGAATTAAGCGGTTCTTTTTTGCGCTTTAATCCAATTAAATTTCGTTTTTAATGGTACAGAGATTTCACACGTAATTTTAGCAAAAAAACTACTCTCGGTTTAGGCCGGTGCCCTCAGGCTAAGGATTTTCAAACACGCTATTTTGTCATGTAAAAAGTTCAAATGAAAGGGGAATTCAGATTTCTTCAACCTAATATTTTTTAACAAAGCGTACGTTGTAATTTAGAGAAATTTATTAATCCCGTAAAACTAGCAAGATTTTCCAACAATTTTCTCCAGGTGTTATAATAAATTTATTTAGGTTTCAAAAGCCCTTCACCTTTTAATTCTAACCAACGTTTGTTTTCACTTGCTTTCAGGTCCTAACATTTGGCTTGGTAAATACGATGAACAAGTGCAAAAACGAAATTAGCATTTATAACAGTTTTAACGACAACACCGCAATTTGCATACAATAACTAAGGAGCATCTCAGGCAAAAATGCAGATAGCTTCTATCGTAGTTCGACCCAGCTATTTTTTTCAGCAACACTACACACTAGATGATTTATCCGTTCCTGTCAAGGGTCTTGGCCGCTAGTTGGGAGTATACATGGGTCGACGCTTGCATGCGCCGCATAAGCGTGGCCGGCCACGCTCTTCCGGAGCGTGGAGAGCCACGCTGGCTCGCGTGCCTCTTAATAATCCACGCCGAAATGAGCGTGGCCCGCCACGCTCCGGAAACGCTTATGCAAAGTTTCTAAAAAAAATGCAAAATCAAAGTTTTCCAAGGGACATGAAAGCAAAAATCGATCCGTTTTCGAGAATTTAACTAACAAGAAGTTGAATCATGATCTATCTTGTTTATTTATCAAAATTTAAGGATGACCCTGATAGTTATGTATCGGCAATTCATTTTTGCAAATCGAAATCATGAATATATGTCCCCTAAATTTTCGATTTGCATCTGGAGTTAAATCGCGCGCGTGAAAAAGCACGCATAAAGCGCCGCATGAGCGTGGTCCTCCACGCTCCGGAAGAGCGTGGCCAGCCACGCTTATGCGGCGCATGCAAGCGTCGACCCATGTATAGTTGGGAGGAAGCCCAGCACGCGCGCGTTCCCTAGTATCCCCGAGCACCCCATACGAGATATCGATAGAAATGGTGCCCTCTGCTAGGCAATTCGTGCCCGCAGGGGGTCATAATTGGACGAACGGCCATCGATTCCGCCCCGACACCAATGTTTCAAATAATTGCCCTTTGAATTGGTTGGATGCTATCACGGTTGATAACTTTTCACAAGCTCATTCCTACCAGTGCTGGTTAATTCATCATTTCCCACTTTTGAAAAACAATTTTATAGCTATTACTATCCCTGGGCCATATCAATGGGCACCACTTTAAGTTATCCCCCATCCAAAATTAGTTATTCGTCCAGTTATTTTGGTATTTTAGCTTTTTAACAGATAATTTAAGGCCACACGATAGCGTATAAAATACTTTTGAAGCATAGTTTTTAGCTCAAGTTATTTTACAGACGAATTGGACAGCCCCCCACCACCCTAATTGATCATCCAGCCAAAAATTCCCGATTTATTCGATATTTTAAACTTTGGGAAGTAGTTTATTTTCGCGGCATATGGAAGAGCACCAACAATAAATAAGAAAACTTAGGATTAAACCAAAATAGTTGTAGAAAGTACGATATTCAAAGTTAAGTTTTTTTACATTTCGAAAATAACCAATTACGAGTCGAATTGCCAAAATCATAAAATAGATTACGAGAAAAACTGATTTTTAGTCATTCCAACTGGTGTTGTTTGCCCAATCTCAAATCAATTGTTTGTTGTCCTTCACCGGAAGACGCTTTTTCCGAACATACGTTATCAACGATATATTACGAAAATTCTGATTTTCAGAAGCCAACCACCATGGCGCTCCCGTTTTTGAGTTGCCCTGATTGCAACTTTGCGTACGACACGGAGCCGTACCTGAGGAACTGCCCGGTCATCCACCAAAACAGGCTCAGCTGCTTGGATTGCAAAAAGGATGAACAACAAGTGGTAAGGATGTGGCCTTTGTCTAAGCGACAACGTATAGAATTTGATAGATGGAGGCGCAAAAACATAGTTAGGAGCACTGAACCGTTTTTTTGCAAAAATCGGATTACGCTAGGAAAAGCGCCTTTAGCTAGCGTAACGGATTGCTCAGCACTGTATTATTAGAGAGCCAAAAACCCAAAGGAGAACCGCCTAAAAATCAAAAAGATTGCACAAAATCGAAATGTCGTGATGCCCTTAGAGAATCGACCTTATTGATTCGTAGGCAAATTTTGTCAGAAAGGCCAAAGTCTTCAGAATGGCTTCAATACTTGAAAATTCGCGCGGTCTCAAACTCAAAACGAGGCTGACAGTTGTGACCCTATCGGGCTATGTTGTAGACGGCAATACGACAAGTAAAACCTTTCAAATCTTCAAATTTTAGCTTTGAGCAACTGCTGAACAATAATGACATTAAAAGTTTCTCAAATTTTCGATTTTTGAAGTGGGACCAAAAATTAATGCAATTAGCGCTTTCAAAACCATCAGAAAGCACGAAAGCCGAAATGCATCTAAGAACGTTTTCTTATCAAACCCTTTAAAATCGGCCAGATACACCTGGTGATGACTAATCGCGCGCATTAGCTGGTGTTACGACATGTAAACCTGAGCCATAATAAAAGCCTCAAATGAAATTTCTCAATTTTCAGGCCGAATTCCTGTGCGACTTCCTGAAGCAACCAAACCTGCGCCAAAACCGGGAACTCATGCCCATCTGGGAGGCGCTCGGCCCGCTGAAACGCGTTCTCGTGCCGGAGCTGCAAGCGTGAACTATCTCCCGTCGGCGCGGAGCCGTACATCTTCGAGGGGTGCTACCACCTGACCTGTCGCTCGTGCGACACCAGCAAGTGTGCATGCGGCTTCTCCTACGGCTGGGCCTACAAGTGCGGGCTGGAGATCTTCGAGAAAGTCGGGCGATTCAGGACGCACGAAGCCAAACTGGCGGCCCGACAAAAGGATTGTGAGCAGGGGATCATCGCACAGCTCAAGAAAGCCAAGCCAGAATGCGCGATGTGCGGATTTTATCTCAAAACGCCGCTTGTTGCGATGACATGTGAGCATGTGGTCTGTATACAGTGCCGGGAAGATGTTCGCCATCTCGACGATATCTGTGACGTCTGCCGGAAGCCGAAGGATGGCCATATGGCATGGGGGCAGAAGGTGCTCCGGGAGGAGGCGCAGCGAGTTGCTGATCAGGAGAAAGCTGTAGAGCAAAAGCAAGAAAAATTTGCTGTGCAAGGAAATGCTACGCAAACTGTGAATCAGGAGCAACAACAAGTTGCTGCTCAAGAAACTGGGCTAAAAACTTTGAAGCAAGAGCAAGAAAAGGCTGCAGCTTACGAAAAAAAGCCCACAAACTTGAAGGAAGAGCAAGACAAAGCTGAAGGTGAACAACAGCAAATGAAAGCTATGAAACAAGCTCAAAGACAGTATCTTGCTCAGATCAAATGGTTAGAAACTGACATCCGGAAAAGAGCTGCAGCTTACGAAAAAGAGCCCAAAACCTTGAAGGAAGAGCAAGACAAAGCTGAAGATGAACAACAGCAAATGAAAGCTATGAAACAAGCTCAAAGACAGTATCTTGCTCAGATCGAATGGTTAGAAACTGAAATCCGGAACCGACTGTCCAAAATCAGCCAAGATTCTGGTTTCGTGGAGGATGATGAGAAACCGGAAGCGGATCCGGACGCGCACGCTTTTCGAGCAGAGCTTCAACTCCTTGCCGATACCATCGACGACAAGAAATCTGAACCGAAAGTAGATTCCTCAAAATCTCCAAAAAATGAAATCGGCTTAGAGGCTCCCAAGATCGCGCTCCCCGTTGAAATTCTGGTCGAAGGGCTGACCAAGGAGGTCGCAAAATTGCGCACTGAACTGGATGAACTGAAGCTCGTCATTGGCTTCCAGGCGATGGAACAAGTCAAGATGGCTGAAGAGCTGCAGCGGCAGCAAGTGCCAACAAAGAGCGGGATCCGAACTCTCAAAGATACCTGTGTTCAAAAGATCATCGAGGTCAAGAAGGCGGAAGAATCTGCCGGAGAGAGTGATAGCGGCGATTTTGAGGTTTTGAATTTGAAGGATCTCAGCCTTGCCACTGAAGATAGGATAAACAATATTTGAAAATAACAGAAAAATCCGGCTGGATCTCACTTTTTATGCTCTCGATATCTACCTCTTTTTCTTTAATTGCTAACCCGAATAAATGTTTTTCAATAAACTCGAATTCAAATTTTT